TGTAGAGTTCCATTATGTGCTTGGAAAGTCCAGGTACCAAGAGAGGTGCCTCAGTGGATATTGATAGGGCAGGGATCATTCCAGAGTTCGGGAGTGGGTGACAGTGCAACTTTGTTCAGCGCAATTCCTGGGCCAAACAAAAAAGATTTGTCCCAGGTACATGCTGGTATCTGGTATCTTGTCCTACTGCTGTTAATCATAAAAACATTTTTTTTTTCCTCTATTGTCCTTTTAGGGAAAAATGATTGTAGCAATTCCTGGACATGTGAGTTATACTGCCTGCCTACAGGTGGCTTGGACACTGACCGACAATTGTAGTCATTCTTGGACATATGGATTTATACTGCCTGCCTATAGGTTGTTTGACACTGGCAAACAAAAAATCATAAGCCAGCCCCCAATATAAACCTGTCTCTAGCCTTTAACACTTGCTAGTATCTTAGGAGGTTTGCTGCCTTTTCCTCAGTGCTTTCTGGCACCTTCCAAACCTTTTGTGTACAGTGTAATTTAGCTGTGGAACACTTTCCAGGTCCAGAGCTTTGGCACAGTCTCTAGTGTGACCGAGTCTCTGCAGACTTGCTTGGTTAGTAAGGCCATCTGGCCTGAACTATGTCAGCATTAACCTATATGTATCCAGATCCACCTGCACTGTCCGCATATGGGATTTGCAATGAAAATGTAATGCAATTGAATTGGAATTTAACCTTTTGGGCACTGGGCTCTGCCTTTGACACTTATCATCAAACTTTGGTGCACTGTGTTGGCTGCAGAACACTTTCTAGTTTGAGTTGTGACCTTAGTTTTGACCCAGTCCTTAAGAATTCATGCAGTGAGGAAGGCCAGTAAGACTAAAGCACTGGAAGCTACTTCACAGTTGCATGAACTCCACATTCTCCCACCTTTTGGCCTAAAAGAAGCAACCTGTTGTGGCTCCTGCTTTTCCGATACCTTGTGGGTCACCTGGTCTCCAGGGTCATTTCACTGGCTGCCTACAGTGATTTGGTCACCTTCACTGGCCTGCAACCCTTATCAAGATCAGCTGGTTTAATGTGAGAGAATGCGAGACCTGGTCTCACTTTAGGGCCAGTTGTTCTCCGCTATATCTGTCTTTAACCTCCCAAGAAAGATGGGATTTTTTTTAAATTAAACAGGCACCCATAGACATAGTATTTTTTTACTAATGGGAAGTTGCAGAATTTTGTTTTATCATAGAATTGGTCATATTACTCACTCTAGATTGTGTGTCTTTGCTTTTCAAACACATTCAGAATGTAATTTCTAAGCTTTCATTTTATTTTTCCAGGTAAGATTATGCCAAAGCCCCAAACTTCAGCTGAAGAACAGCCCTCCATATATACTTGATATTTTGCCTGACGCATATCAACATCTAAGACTTATTTTGAGCAAGTACGATGACAATCAAAAGCTTGCACAGCTCAGTGAAAATGAATATTTTAAAATCTACATTGACAGTCTAATGAAGAAATCGAAAAGAGCAATAAGACTCTTCAAGGAAGGAAAAGAGAGAATGTATGAAGAGCAGTCACAGGAAAGGTAAGCAGGCATTTACTTTCCATTTGCTGCAGTAACGTGCCATAAAGCTTTCATACAGACAAATGATATGTAATGAATTGTTAATAAACAAAACAGCTGCGGACCAGCTAAAATCAGTTGTTATAGGTCTGTCTGGCAACATCACTGCAGAGCATTTGGCATAGGGGCTTTTTTTTTCCCTAGATCCTAATCCCATTTTCTTTAGGGTAGTGAGAGGGGTTCACTATATTTCTTCCAAAATGGTCGAGGCTGTCTGTAAGTGGGATCTTTTCAATAGGGGCGTCCACCTTCACTGTACATCTGGTCTACACTGGAAAACCTCCATTCTACCGATCTACCATTCAGTTTTTTGTTAGATAACCATGTTATTTGTAAAAATATGGTCATGATTTCCTTCGGATGTTTGGGGTTTGAATTCTTTCCTACCCTTGTAGAAAGTTTTGGGGCCATTGACAACAAAAAAGACCCAGGATTTCCAAGGGCCACATTGCAGTGTGTTTAAACAGCCCATTTCATGGGCTTAAAAATACAGCAATGCATGACAAAATAGGACAGGTTGCATTTTATCGCAATGCAACACACAAGACACCATGAGTTGTACTTAGCTGTGTTGTATCATACATGCGCTATGGAGGTGCATTGAGGTGCTATTTACAATGACTTGCAGTGCACCAATGCATGTAGCATGTGTTGTCCTAATGTGCACATTACCGCAATGCAGTAGTTTGAATGGGCCCTAACTTCCCTACTGTAATCAAAATTTGACCGGAAAAGCACTTTAACCCCTTCATGACTGAGGCCTTTTTTTCCACATATTCCACATTTTAGGCCTGAAAATTACCTAAAACCCCCAAACATTATATATTTTCTGAATGCCAAGACCCTATAGAATAAAATGGTGGTAGTTGCAAATTTTTATGTTGCGCTATATTAGCGCAACTTCTTATTAAACCCCAAAATTTTGTGACAAATTTTAATTAAATGCCCCAAAACACAACAAAATACCCATTTTTAAAATGAAATATAAAAGATGAGGTTACAACGAGTAAAAACGATACCCAACATGCCCAGTTTACAAATTGCGTGCGTCCGTGAAACGGAGAAAAACTGCACTACCCCAAAAAGTCCATAGACGCTTTAAAAGCCCCCACAGGTCATTTATTTAGAGATACCCCAAAATACTGGCCCTAGAATTATTGATCTCACTCCGGCGTGCGCGGCGATACCCAACAGTTACCTGAATTACTATTTCAAGTTATGATCTGCTATATAAGCATTCACACTTACAGGTATGAGATTCTAAGGATTCATTCATGAGATTTTTGAGCTTATCACAATAACAGAATTTATTGGTATATAGTATCAAGACTTAAATGCAGTGAACCAACAATCTATTTAACTACAACATACAAAGAAAAGATTTAACCATGCCAAATACCCAGACATTGGTATCTAACGGACAAACAGACATACAGTTAAGTGGGGGAAAGATTATATGTATAGTTACCCATTAATCGTCACATGAGGGCCCCATCCTGGTGAAAGAGAGCTAGCTTCTTTCCTTCAATCCTTAATATACCCCTAGTGTCCATAGGGATGCATGGCAAGTCTCCCATTGGTTGCCTCCCAAGGCCTAATGGAGATTGGAGGGTTTCCAAGACCCTCTTTACAACTCCCCACCCCTCTCTACGATTGTCCAGTCTACATATTATTAGATCAAAGGGTCTTGGCTCAGGAGAAACCTGGGGCAATTATCCGAACATGCCTGGGCTTGACAATAGCCCTATTTGCAATTCATTGGGCCTGCCACTCCCCTCCACAGTGATAAGCACAACAAAGACTTTATTTCCCTACAAGCTACCAACACCTCAGGTGAAATATTTGAAACAAGAAATAAAACTATATACATATGCACCAACATGTGTAGTGTGTTAGTCGTTTTCATATGTAGGCGCACCCGGCGCGTGTTTACGTGGCGACGCGCGGGGGACTTAAATTTTTTTTATTATTGTATTATATTTAATTTTAAACTTTTTTTTTAACTTTACTTTGACTGCTATCACATAGTGGTGCTT